CCATCACAATATAGGTTGACTACACACTGACAGCCAAAAATGACTGCATAATTACACAATGTAGTAGTAATATTGAATGCAAGTATCAAGGTGTTACTTCTGAAGCTCGTCTTGAAATGTCTAGGTGAGTTTGGTGGTGGTAATTAAGAAGGTGAAGTTTGTTGAAGATAGTTTCAACTGAGGAGATAAGAGATGCTGAGGCACCATGGCTATTTAAAGGAACACTAGATTCTTTAATTTAGCATTCTTATTCTCTATTAAAAGTTTGTTTGGGTGTTGATACCTGGTTGATGGGGTTCTGGGAGTAGTTCTACTCCCCAAGCCCGGCCCGAGGTCAGGCATGACTTGTGAGAGTTTGGTCCACCAGGCTGTCGCTTGCAGCGGCCCGCGTACCCACATATCCACCACAGCCCGGTGATTGATGTGTGCCCAGCACTCCTTGGAGAAAAGATCTAATTTTCTCTTGAAGATGTCCACGGTTGTTCCGGCAATATTTCTTATGCTCGCTGGGAGGATGTTGAACAACCATGGACCTCTGATGTTTATACGGTGTTCTCTGATTGTGCCCATGGCACCCCCTTCTCTTCACTGGTTCTATTCTGCATTTTCTTCCATATTGTTCACTCCAGTATGTTGTTATTTTACTGTGTAGATTGGGTACCTGGCCCTACAATATCTTCCACGTGTATATTATTTGATATCTCGTTTTCTTTCTAGTGAGTACATTTGGAGAGCTTCGAGACGATCCCAATAATTTAGGTGCTTTATTGCATCTATATGTTCTCTGCTATAAATATATGATTTATTTCAGCAATCTCTCCTGCTCTGAAGGGGGAAGTGAGTACTGAGCAGTACTCAAGATGGGACAGTACAAGTGATTTGTATAGTACAACCATTGTGATGGGATCCCTGGATTTGGAAGTTCTCGTAATCCATCCTATCATTTTTCTGGCTGACGCAATATTTGCTTGGTTATGCTCCCTAAACGTTAGGTCGTCAGACATCATTTGTCAACATTCAACTTTACCGGCTATTCCCATTGACCTCATTTTGTGTGCTATCACTCCATGGTCACATTTATTGAATGCCTTTGCGAAGTCCGTGTATATCACATCACCATTCTGTTTTTCTTCTAATGCCTCGGTGACTTCATCTTGGTGATCAAGTAGCTGTGAGTGGCACGATCTTCCCGCTCGAAATCCATGTTGGCCTGGGTTGTGAAAGTGTTGCTTCAAACTTTTTCTTTTAATATTTACTGTACTCTGAATGTGTATAAATTGTAAAAAATACTCATATGCCAATTCTAGTCAGTTCTGGATTCCATTCACGTTTTCACTTCTCATATTTTCTGCTCTTCTTGGCACCTCTGCTTGTAATTTGATTTATTGTTTTTTATATTTTCATAATTTAACACATTCTATATTAACTAATGCTCTTATAGCACATTTTGCCTAGTCATCAACCCCTTCGTTAAACACTGTTCCAGCATTAGACGGAACCCACATGAATTTTATATTGTTCACTTTTCTCACTTGTTCTTTCACGATCATCAACATTTGACATGAAAATTGGACTTGTTTAGTGAATCAAGTGCTCCTGGCTGTTAACACATACAGCCGTCATAAGCAACTTTATCCATGCTTATACTCTAACAATTCATAAACCTACACATACTGATCAAGTAAATACCCAAGTTTAACTCTTAAGCTCTGTGATTGTCTTGTTACAAGAAACATTAAAGTAGTCTATCCATAGAAGCCAGACTTATTAATCATCAAAAGACAACTAATAACATTGTAGCTTTTTGTCAAAAGTCAATAAATTGAAATCTATGGACAAGACAAATACTTCGTAGTAATTATCGTGTGACATTGAATCTATGATTATGTAGGTTGTTTGCAAAGACGTAACCCATAAGTACACAGGACTCATGACAGCAGTCCACATGGTGGGAAACTGGGACGTTAAAATGTGGAACAGGGTGAACAAATCCACAAGGGCCGTGACGAGGATTCGAACCTGCGTCCGGGAGCATCCCAGACACTGCCTTAATCGACTGAGCTACGACAGGGTAAAAAATGGTTCAAATCCTCGTCATGGCCCTTGTGGATTTGTTCATTTGATGCATCACGTTAGTGTGATCTCTCTGTGTGTGTAACAGGGTACCTGGTAAATCCAAGACGTGCGCACGTCAATCATGCATACGTCAAGCATACCAAAGGAAGAGCAAGATGGATTGATTGATTGATGAAGATTAAGCCACCCAAAAGGTGGCACGGGCATGAATAGCCCGTAAGTGGTAGCCCTTTTGAGCCATTTATCAGTATCAAGAGATGATACTGGAGATCTGTGGAGGTGCAACTGCACCCTGCGTGACGGGAGATGTCTCCCGTGAGCAAGATGGAAAACGGGGCCGATATATATATCCGCCAGCACGCCTACTGCAGCTAACTTAATTAATTCATAGAGCGTTGTGCTCATGGCACGTTGCTTACACCACCGCGATTCGCGGCCTGACGTGAGATCAAGTCCCGCGAGTCGTTGGTAATGGGGACCAGATCGTATCGAGATTGGCGCAGATCCTTAACTGTAGCCTCTAACTCAACAGTAAAATGTGTACTTGGTTGTAACAACGATTCTTCGCGGCGGGGATCGTATTCCAGGGACCTGCCCGAAACGCTCCGTGTACTAGAGGCTGTACAAGAATGTAATATCTCTTGTATACATCTCAAAAAAAAAAAAATACGAGTTTGTAGTAGGAGTAGGAGAGTAGGAGAGTTTGGCGGCGTCGGACAAAGGAAACACCGGAACAGATAGTAAGCACAAATTGCAGTCCCAGGGAGGAGGGGAGTGGTGGAGATATGAAGGGGATAAGGGAGGGTTGGGTACTAAGATGGTATTAGTAATCTATGCCAAAAGGACACATGAAATTATTAGGTTTTATTATTTTATAATAATTTATTTGCAAGAAGCTACAATGGGTTGGTGAGATTACATTAGATTGGTATTTTTACATTCATGCAAAGCCACTAACACGCATAGCGTTTCGAGCAGGTCTTTAATCTAACATACCAGATAAGATGAAAGGGTAAATTGTAGCAAGGTTTTTATATCAACAAATAAACACAACATAAGTTGACAGTGGTGATTACACTGGTAAGGATATACTGTGTCTCGAGTACTTATATTTGGGAACTGTGTAGTACAGGATATAGCGAGTTTGAAGCACAAGGGTAGGAAACTATGAGGATGTAATTAGGTACGTTTTGGTTTTACTTTTGAACAGGTCAGGGGTTGGACAATTTTTTAATTTATCAGGGAGTGAGTTCCATAGACTGGGACCTTTTATTTGAATGGAGTGTTTGCACAGATTTAGTCTGACTGGGGATATCAAAGATATATTTATTTCTTGTGTGATGCTCATGGGTTCTATTACACCGATCAGGGGAAAGTTTCAGATCAAGATTAGCATTTAGGAATAAGGTTTTGTATATGTAGATAACATATGCGAATGTGTTGAGTGTATGATTAGCATGTTAAGGCTAAAATAGAGTGGCTGTGTTGTCTGAAGACAGAGTTTGTTATTGTTCTGATAGCAGATTTTTGCCGAGTGATGATAGGCTTGAGATAATTTGCAGTGCTTGAACCCCATGCACAGATACCGTATGTTAGATAGGGATAGATTAGTGCGTAGCATAATAGGAGAGCAGAGTGGGGAACATATTAAAACAGACGTTTGGTATGTGTACGCGGCGGGTTAATTTACTTATAATACTTTAAATATTTACGGTTTATAATTTACTATTAATTAATTTAACTATATTGTAAATAATTTTACCCCAGCGTAAGTATCAATCACCCTACCCAAAATGTAATTCCAGAGCTAGTAGAGTCCTATCAGGAACCGTTGAGGGCCACAGGACTAACAGACATGACAAGGCAGATATTGAAACTTAAAATGCTGAACTTCAGATAAATCATACACATGCCTGCCTATCCCCGACAAAATTAATTGAATCGCCAAATATTCAGATGCAGCCCGAAGCATCTATAGTATTATGCATTTTCCGTTTTACTAGCTAACTTGCTTAGCTAAAGGAATTCTGGGGCTGTCCCTGAGCCCATTATGTGCCTTTAACCCTTTCCACTGTAACCCACAAGATGGGTATGGGGTACATAATAAATGATCTAAACTAAAGTTTATATTATCTGAGAACACACATGCTGGGTAAGATACATCTCTAGCACATCCTAATCCAAATTGCATTGCCAGGCGCAATAATTATAACTTGCGATGAGTATTTAGATCCCGGTCGTAGACTAGAGTTAGTTCTCGACTTTGTCCAGGATTCTGGGTTCGAATCCAAGGTTGGACAGAAATAATTAATAATTCATTGTGTGAGGGGACAGGAAGCCAGGTTATATATACAGTACATGTTGGGCTTATATCCAGTTCCCCAAGGTCGAATTATTGACCCCGCTCAACCCCCACAGCACGCTAACTCCTGGGTACCTATTTACTGCTGCTAGGTGGACAGGGACATTAGGTGAAAGGAAGTGTGCCCAACAATTTCTGTGCTGCCCGGGATTCGAACCCGGAATTCTTGATTTTGAGTCGAAAACGAACCCGACTGGTTGGGCGCATTTCGTATCACCTAATACACCTGTCCACCTAGCAGTAAATTGAGACCCAGCTGCTTGTGGGGTTGCATTCTGGGGAGGGTCAGTAACTCGACCCTAGAGGTGGAGGGGGGCCTCGATATAAGCATAACGTGTATAAATACACGGGCTGCCTGTCCCCCCGGCACAGTGAATTATTAAATAGTGAACTCTCGTAACTACCTACTGGTGGGTAAGGAGGGCTTGCGAGGGTGTCGGGAAGATGGGGGAGGGAAAGTCTTGGGAGTGAGGGAGGGACACCGAAGATGAGGGAGTGAGGGAGGGACGGTGTCGGGAAGATAAGGGAGGACGGGTCTTGGGGAGGGAGGGGTGGAGAACGACGAGGAGGGAGGGGGGTGTGTCAGTAAGGAACCACTCGACCGTTGGTGCGGCTCTGGGAAGGAAGACTGCGTCCCTGCTCGTTCAATTCCCGTTTACATTACCGAACAAATTCGTCAAAGTAATGGCTACCAAAGGTTAGTACAAGATAAGGAACGCGTTACACTGTGTCAGTAGTAATCCCAGAACCTCATCGAGCAGCGGCCAGGTATCAAGCTGTAGGATACAGTTCGTAGACTGTAGAATTAGCGCCTGCTGGAGTACTGTTTAACGTACTGCTTGACCCCTATAGTATACGACTCAAACATCCGGGCTCACCATAGCCCGTGCTGCTTGGAACATTTTGTTCAGAGTATCTGAATCTAAAACAACAACAGTTGACGACTGTTATCAAGCTAAGCTCGACCATGACTATCACTAGACAAGGTAATGAGGAGAATCCTGGTTACCTGATACCTGGTTGATGGGGTTCTGGGAGTTCTTCTACTCCCCAAGCCCGGCCCGAGGCCAGGCTTGACTTGTGAGAGTTTGGTCCACCAGGCTGTTGATTGGAGCAGCCCGCAGGCCCACGTACCCACCACAGCTCGGTTGGTCCGGCACTCCTTGGAGGAATAAATCTAGTTTCCTCTTGAAAATGTCCACGGTTGTTCCGGCAATATTTCTTATGCTTGCTGGGAGGACGTTGAACAACCGCGGACCTCTGATGTTTATACAGTGTTCTCTGATTGTGCCTATGGCACCTCTGCTCTTCACTGGTTCTATTCTACATTTTCTTCCATATCGTTTACTCCAGTACGTTGTTATTTTACTGTGTAGATTTGGTACTTGGCCCTCCAGTATCTTCCAGGTGTATATTATTTGATATCTCTCTCGTCTTCTTTCTAGTGAGTACATTTGAAGGGCTTTGAGACGATCCCAATAATTTAGGTGCTTTATTGCGTCTATGCGTGCCGTATATGTTCTCTGTATTCCCTCTATTTCAGCAATCTCTCCTGCTCTGAAGGGGGAAGTGAGTACTGAACAGTACTCAAGACGGGACAACACAAGTGACTTGAAGAGTACAACCATTGTGATGGGATCCCTGGATTTGAAAGTTCTCGTAACCCATCCTATCATTTTTCTGGCTGTCGCAATATTTGCTTGGTTATGCTCCTTAAACGTTAGGTCATCAGAGATTATTATTCCCAAATCCTTTACATGCTGTTTTCCTACTATGGGTACATTTGATTGTGTTTTGTACTCTGTATTAGGTTTAAGGTCCTCATTTTTACCGTACCTGAGTACCTGGAATTTATCACTGTTAAACATCATGTTATTTTCTGATGCCCAGTCGAAAACTTTATTAATATCAGCTTGAAGTTTTTCAATGTCCTCAGCCGAGGTAATTTTCATACTGATTTTTGTGTCATCTGCAAAGGATGATACGAAGCTGTGACTTGTATTTTTGTCTATATCTGATATGAGAATAAGGAAAAGCAGCGGTGCAAGGACTGTACCCTGTTAGGTAATCATGTTAGGTAATCTCACGGTGCTGTATAAAATAAGTTTAGTTTACTACCCGAGAAAATTTCCACCGTCACGTTATCACTACTATTTCAGTAAACCCAAAGCCAGCCCAGCCCATAATATCCTATTAAATCCTAACCTAACTGAAACAAGATAAAAATGGTTGTTTCATATGAATGTTATACACAAGGTGTGACATCATATAGCATCCTCGACACGGGCAGTGTCATGGTGGCAGCTATAAGGGTATATATAATGCCCAACCAGTATACCCACTTCATCTCCACACAATGGTACGTGGAATGGAAGAGTCCCCCTGCAGGTAACGCTTGCTTAAACTTACGTATCCATTTAATTGTAATATTTCAACGTGTTAAAGCTAGACATCTAAACTTAATTCATAAAGCTAAAATATGTTGAATTATAATTACGTTTCGTGTTAATCACTGAGATAACAAAGTTCTGAGTGAAGGTTTTCAGCGAGCGAAACATTGTGATAAAGGCTCTCGTATGACCTTCACTTGCAATGTCCCCCATTATGTGTTTCAAATTTTCATTGAGGGTTGAGTGAGTGAAGCACACAAAGGATTCGCCCAGATATGTGAGACTGACATCCCTTGTGGTTAGGTTTATTGTTTAAGGCAGCGTATGTCATAATGCTTTTGTTTTTAGTTTCTCCTGCCAGATATGGCAATTGATTTAAATAATTTCCTTATATTGTAGCGAGTTATCGAGTACTCTGCCACAGCAACTGAGTGAAGAGCTCTTACAGTGCTGCATAGATGTTACGGTTGTTGTTATAGATTCAGCTACTCGGAACTGAATCTGAAGTTCCAAGTCCACCAACGGCTATGGTGAGCCCGTAGTGGACTTGCCTGCCACAGGAGCGGTGGACTTGCCTGCCACAGGAGCGGTGGACTTGGCCACGTCTAAAACTATGCTGCATAGATTTTTTTCTGTCTTGCATATATTTGGGTTAGATTTTTTTTAACACGGATGGATGCTATGAGTAGACTCGTGTCAGCAAGCTTAGAGCTTTGCCTTCCCATTGATCAGCTTAAGCCATACGCTGTTAGTTTTCCCCGGAACACGACCCGCTAGTAGGTTTACAACCAGATCTCAAAATTACTGTTGGGTGAACAGGGGCTAACAGTTGAGGATTCGATTTAATGACTGCCAGGGTTCTGGTAGTAGCTGGATCTTTAGAACTTTTTGCGAGCTGTCTGTCATTTGCAAATTGGTGACATTGCTTGCAATTACAGTCAGGAAAAAGTAATATTCCTTAAAAAAAAATCCCTACACATTAAACTTCTATACTGCAACCAGTATAACTATATAATTTTACCTTTTCTTCGCCATCATGGGTTTGTTCTTGTCACAATTTCGAATCTCAGGTGGGACAAGTGGTTGGGCACGTTTTCTAGAAGTAAATATGTACCCGGGAGAATATGTATCATCTTGTTAAGTTGCATCCTGGGGATGATCGGTTGTTCTATGTTGGGATCTCGATATTAACCTAACATGCATATATATATACACCCAAAGGATGTCTGACCCCGACAAAATTAATTATTACCTTCCCAGTCCTTCACCACCTTCCTTACTCTAATATATTTGCTTTCACTGAAATTGTGTGCAACCCTCATCAGTTGACATATGGCGGATCACAGAAGCTATCAAGATGCAACAAGAGCAATGCATATCAGACCCAAGTGTGGGAAATGCTGTGGTTCCCATTACACACACACGACTGTGCGTCGGATATACTCACCTGCTCAAACTGTGGTGACCATCATGACATTACACTCAATGTCCTTCATACATAGCAGCAAAAACTAGGGCTCTCCCTACCAACAACCTCCAATACAGTAGTGCACTGAAACAACCTAACTCGGTCCGTCATCAACCATTACCTCACTCTCTACCACAACCTTTGCTTGAACCTGACATGTCTATCACTGACAATCCTGCACCCCCAGAGTCCAATATTCTCCCACAAAACTTACAACCGAGTCCCAGTCTTGTAGAAACACTTGTCGCTCGTATGAAAATGCACTAGAAAAGATGCTTGACCGATTCCTAACTAAATTCTTTACACAAGTAAGCTAACCCATCCCCGAGGCTGACCCAACCCATCCACATCTACAGACAATGTCATCTGACCTAAAGCAGCAACCATTGCTGTATACAAATCGTTTGAACTGATGCTGGATATACTCCTAAATAACTACTTAGCACGTCTTACCCAAGTCACTACCCAAGCTGACTTGTCACAAACCCCAACTACGAGTAAGAAAACCTCTGTACAAACCTCCCACCGACCTGGCACTTGACTGGAAAAACCACACACTCCCACGACACATCCTCCAACCACTCCCAAATATTCAACACGCTACACTACCCGCACGTCAAAGATGACCGAAACAATCACATCCCAGATGTAAAGATCTGCAATACAACATAACCTATCTTCAACTAACCTACCCCAACCTAACCTTATACACATTAACTCCATATTACTTAATGTACTCTAACTTACCCCTACCCTAATCTATCATAATCTATCCTAACCTATCTGAATTGCGACTAACTCCGAAACAGTTCGACTCAAAAACTCAAGTCTCTTGACTATCTTGAGGTTATCTTGAGATGATTTCTGGGCTTTAGTGTCCCCGCGGCCTGGTCCTCGACCAGGCCTCCACCCCCAGGAAGCAGCCCGTGACAGCTGACTAACACCCAGGTACCTATTTTACTGCTAGGTAACAGGGGCATAGGGTGAAAGAAACTCTGGCCATTGTTTCTCGCCGGCGCCTGGGATCGAACCCAGGACCACAGGATCACAAGTCTAGCGTGTTGTCCGCTCGGCCGACCGGCTCCCTTAACCCACACTTTCCATATAACATCAACACTTTCCTACCACCACCAACACAACTCATCATCTTTGCCATCCTAAGTCCATTTCCATTCATACGTTTATTTTTGTCTTTATCCTCGCACAAACAGAAGACATCGATAACTTCCAACCTCTGGCAAATTATGAACACTGATGCGCCACTGTCAGTGCCGCATATGTCAACATTAACACTTGTGCAGTGATAAAGATGAAAAACCTTCATGCAAACTCCACGTATCACGAATAATAATAATAATACAATAGTCAGGAATCCACTGTGGGTATTCCTGTATGAGGCAAGCATTTACGTCTACATTCGTCTACATTCACGACGACGTCTACAAGCGACGTCTACATTCACGACATCGTGAGAATCTCTTCAATACAGATGAAGCATGCTAGAGGTCTTCTCTTGGGTCCTACATCAATAATTTCTTTAAGAATGACTTACAAGCTTTAAGGGTGTTGATGACCCCAGAGTTGGGAAGCAAGAGTAGCCACAAAAAAGATAAGCACAGCTGTGAGAAAGGATTGGTTTACCTCTAGCGATAAGCAACACCACACCAGATATCAGCTGGTCAACGAGCACCATTACCAAGGTCACAACAGTACCAGTCTCTCTTGGATACATTGGTAATACGTCGTTGAATTGTATTTACTTTTTTTACATTAACTTGAGAATGGTCCAGGACGGACCGAAACGTCGTCGTCCCTTCACTTTCTAGTGTGTGGTCTGGT